AGAGGGACAGAAGGAGATGGAGAAAATCTCAAGGAGACTCTCCGCTGAGTGCTGAGCCCATCACAGGGCTGGATCCCAGGACTCCAAGATTATGACCAGAGCTGAAATCAAGAGTCGGATGCTCACCGACTGAGCCAGCCAGGTGCCCCAAATACTCAGTTTCTTCCTATTGGGGGTGGAGGAACAGTGGCCTCGAAAGAAACATCTGTGTGAAAGGGAAGGTGGGAGGAGATGGGTGAGGCCAAGGAGAGGCTGAGAAACATGATGGGGACATGGAGAGATGGTCAGGATGGAGACAGAGGAGGAACTGCCCAGAGAGTTTGTCTATCCACTCACTAAGCATTTGCTGAGCTCCTGCGATGGGTCAGGACCTCTGGTGGGCATTGCTTCAAGGTTTGGGGGAAAGAAGAGAGACCCAGAGAGAGGAAGACCTACCAGGAAAGCAGGCCCAGGGGGGCCTGTTCGTCTCCACTGTGGGGCTTAGTGCCAGTTTTGAGTGATGGAGACGCAGCGGTAGAGAGGGACAGAGAGAGGACCCTGCCCCTCCCCAGTCCTTCCTGAGGCCTTATCTGTCCAGATGAAAGAACAGAAGCCATGGGGGGAAGGTCCCTCTGGGCTGGGGGCACCCCCATGAATCACTTTCTTATCATCTCCTAATAGGATAATGACACACCTGCCCCCTCCTAATCACTATTTTTGGCCCCAACTAGGTCCAACGCCCACAGTGAGAAGGGTTGGATGAGTCTGGTCTTTAAGGATCCGGAGAGGAGACACCTGAAAGTCTGAGTCCTGGGTCCTTCCAATGCCAGGACACAAGAATCCTAGGCCTCCCCACCCCACCCAGGAGTCCCCCCTTGCAGCCGTCTGTCTCCTTTTGCCGTCTGTCTTTTCTTATCTCTCTGGGCCTGTCTTTATCTCTTTATCTCCATCTGTGTTTTGTGTCTCTCCTGTCTCTTTACATCTGCATCTGATCCTTCCTCACTGGGCGTCAGTTTTCTTACTTGTAAAATGGATATTAAAATAATAATAATCTGATCTCTTAGAACTGTAATGAGGAAGACACGCGATAATTATGTAAAATGCTTTTGCGTAGAACCGGGGCCGGAGTACACGCCATACAAGAGAGCTCTATTTTAATTATTGTTTTCAATATTTTAATCTCTCTTGGTATCAATGTTTTTCTCTTTGTCTCCGTGAGAGTTTCAAGTCTCCTCCCGCTCTGGGTGCCCTTGGCAGGCAGCACCCTGGCTTCCCTTTTAGGGGAGGTGGAAAGGGCACATGGAGGCCAGACCTTCCCCTTCAGCCGCTGCCTCTTCATCTCTGTTTCTAAGCCCCACCTCGGGACCCAGAACCCTTGCTCGGGGACAAGGCCTGGCTCCAATCCCATAAAATCTTAAGCCTCAAATCTGTCATCCTTGGCCAGGGCAGTGACTCTTGGGTGTCCCTGTCCCTACACGCGGACCTTTCAGGGTTTCCAGTTCCCACCTCCCTCAGGATCCAACCATTCAGATGCTCCTGGGACCCTGAAGTCTAGGTTCCTCTGTCCCTCCTCCCTCGGGACCAAGGAGTCTGGACTTCTCAGGTCCCCATCTTCCCTCAAGACCCAGGGATGAGGCCAGCGGCCACTCTCCGGACCCCGCGCAGCCCACCACGCCCTCCGCCCGCAGCGCTCCGCGTATTTCCAGAGGCGGGCGTGACACGGTCCTCCGGCGGCTAGCTGGGATAAGCCACCCATTACGTCAATCACTATCTTCCAGCCAATAGACGCTCCGCCTCCTACCGCCCTGACCAATAGGAGCAGGTTCCCCGGTAGGCGGAGCCCACGGCCTATGTCGGGCAGCGATTGGCTCTGGAAGACGCCAGTCTCCGCCAGCCAGCCAATAGGCGGGGCACCTGCGGGGTGGGACTCCCGCGGCGCACTGCAGAGGCTGGAGCTGCTCGTGCGGGAAACGGGTTCCGCGGGACCAGTGGGTAAGGCCTTTCCAGCACGCCCCGTACTGGGATTCTGGAGATAGTTCGGAGGGAAAACGGCGAGGCTTGGTGGGGCTGGAGGCGGACGGGGCCGCTGAGCCCGGGAGACCGCGCGTTTGCTTTGATGGAGAAACTGAGTCCCAGACACCCATCTCTCCGTTCCAAGCCTCTCGCCCCGAGCCTCATTCTCTCTGCCCCTTCCCGGCCTGCACACCCATCCGTTCAGTCTCGCTTGGCCTCATTGTCTCTCCCACTCACTGGCTTTCCCACTTCCTTCTCTTGCCACTCACTCGCTCGCTCGTCGCACACCCAGACACTTATTACTTAAACGTTTCCCGAGGCTTCCAGTGTGCCAGGCCTTGTGCCGGGCGACGGTGGTGACCGAGATGAGTCAGATCGAGGCCCTGCCCTCGAGGATCCCGGGTCAGACGGGAGGACAGACACGTTGATGGGCAGGGGTGAGTCTCTCCAGGAGACCCTTCTCTTGGCTTTGCTGGGACAGGGAAGGGCTTCCAGAGGAGGGGACATTGGGACCGGATCCTGGAGGGGCAGGAGGTGCCAAGCAAAGGAGATGAGTACGTGGGAGGGTGTTTCAGCACAAGCAAAGTATTACTGTGTGTAGGTGCCCAAGAAGGAGGCCGGTCACGTCCATGTTGTGATGGGGTAACTGTAAGGCTGGAAGAGGATGAAGAAGTGCACAAGGGCAGCCTTGGCATCTTGGACTTTGTCCTGGGGTAGGGTGGTAGTGGGGAGCCAGGTCAGAGCTGGAGCCAGAACTGGAGAAGTGAGACTGGATGCCAGTGGCCCAGAAGGTGGCTTGGGCAGGGATACAGGCAGGAGAAGATGAAGCCTGGGTTAGGACAGAGACCGAGGGAATAATGCAGAGGGTTCAGGAGGCCGAAACAACAGGATATGGGGCTTGATGGGCTTTGGGACGAGGGGCTGTCCAGGACAAGACCCAGAGTTCTGGCCTGGGGTACAGGGGTAGAAGAGCCGTCCCTGAGATGGGGACAGGAAATAAGAGGCAGGTTGGTGGGTGGATGACTGTTTTGGGAGAGATGAACAAAGGGTCCTATGAGCTCTCAGGGGCAACAGGACCTTCAGGGACAGTTCTGGGCCATGGTTCCGTCCCCCATCACAGCCCTGGCTCTGAAGTCACTTGCTGGGTGAAAGAGGGCCTCTGAGATGAGGGTCCCTCTGTCCCTAGCCCCTCAGGAGACTTTTCTTGTGCTTCTGCATCTTCAGCCTCTCCCTCTTCCCCCTCCTTTCCTGGCAGCATTAAAACATGTTCTATCACCTCTAAACACAGACACACACACACACACACACACACACACACACACACACACACACACACACACACCAAGCTCCCTTGCATTATTTCTCATCCCTTTTACAGCTGAACACTTGTGCTACCCATTGGCTAAATCTCTTACCTTCCTCTCCCTCCTCAGCCCTCCATGCCTGGCTGCCCACATGCCATGGCCCTGCAATGGCTCTGGACAAGGTCACCAAGGTCGGTCCCACCTGCTCCCTGGTGAGGATAACATTTCCATCCTCATCTGACCCAGACCACGCCCTCCCACCTGAAATCCCTTCTACTTACATCTTTCTTGTTTCATGGTTAGTTTCCTCCCTCTCTGGCTGCTCCTTAGAACCTTCCAGGACTGACTCCCCTTTTACTGTCCATCCTTTTACTGGGGGCTGTCGTCCTCACGGCTCTCTCTGTCCTGGCCCTTGGCTCATCCCACCTGTCTACTCTTCCTGGAAAGGTTCTGGTCCCTCAGCCAGAAGTGAGCACCCAGCCTGCTCTCCTGCCCCCTGCTGCCTCCCAGATGTCCCCCTGGATTGTCTCGCAGAGACCTTTTGATCTCTCCATGTGCAAAACAGCTCTCAGAACCCCAACACCTACCTTGTACACACCAGAGCCTCTTCCCAGTAAAGACACAGCTCACTGTCTACATGCTTCTGTGGCTAGGCCCGAGTGCCCCCTTCACCCCCTTGCTCTCCTGTAACATCTGCTCTGCCCTCAAGGAGTCCTCTTCAACCTCAGTTATGGCTCCTACTCCTATTCCCTAAACTCACAGCCTGTGCCCCAGCTCAGGCCTGTCTTCCCTGTCCCCAGCCTCCTTGGCTTCCTCTACCTCTAGTCTTGCCCTTTCTGGTCTATTCCCCAGTGTCCCAGCAGGCCCTTTCAGGACCTTAGCTGATCCTGGCCCTCTCCTGTTCAAAGCTCCTCTGTGGCTCCCACTGTTCTCATTACAGTCCAGATTGTACTCCAGGCCCTTCAGGATCTGCTCTTGCTGACTGCTCCAGGCCCCTCAGGCCGCTTCCCACTTTACACCTGACCTCTTGGCCAGGTGGAGGCTTTAACTGCCCACTGGCTCTCACAACTTTGCATGTTTCTTCTGCCTGGCAAACTTCTGCTTATCCTTTAAGGTCAAGCTCAGATCACCTCCACTTTGAAGCCCTCCTTGATTACCACAGATGGAGCCTGGGGGGACTGTGACTGGCTGTGTCTCAGCCGCTCTGCCCACGCTCCCTGAGTCCCTTGAGGGCAGGCCCTGGATAAAAAATCATCTCTGCTCCAAACCCAGGTCTACAAAAGGGCAAGAGCCGCAGAGTCTTGGTTGAGGGACTGACTGTCACAGCTGGGCAGAGCTTGGGCTTCCAGTATTTGGGGTGACCAGCTTTGCTTCTGGTTTCCTGTTATATTTGCTGCAGTTCCCTAGGGAGTTTGGGTTTTTTGGGGGGGTGGGTGCTGGGGCTGGGTCTGTAAAGGGAAATAGCTGAGAACCCAGGGCCCTCTGGTAGTCACCTGGATTGTCTGAAGGGGAGGCGGTCTGTGTTAGGAGTGGAGTCCAATCGCTCTGTATCCAAGAATCTGGGGCCGCAGCCCCCTCCCTGCTCAAGACCCAGAAGTTGGGCTCCCAGCTTTCTACCGGCCGGCCGGGTTTCTCGGATCCCAGCAGCAGAGTCTGATGCTGCCCCCTGGTGGACGACACCCGTCCCTATTTGCAAGAGACCAAACTAATTAAATACTTTTATTTACAAAGGAACAAAACAACTGACTTGCCGGGTAGGGCCAGGCCCCCGACCCCGCGGCGGTCACAGCAGCAGCAGCAGCAGCAGCAGAAGGCAATGGTGGAGTGCAGCTCCAGCTGTCTCGGAGACTGGTCGGTGTGCGCCCCCTCCCCCCAGGCCGGGGTCTGGGCTCTCGGCGCCGCCCCGCCCCCCGCCCACCCGGCGACCATCCCCGCCCCCCCCACCATAAGGCACAGTCTGCCCCTCCCGCCCGGCCCGAGGGAGGGGCCGCATGGGCCGGGAGCCCCTCGCGGGGGTCCCGCCGCCCACCCCGGGGCGCATTCATCACGGAGGCCGGCTCGGAGGGAACAAGAGGCCTTTAGTGCCGCCCCCCGCAGCCCCATCCCCCGCGCGGCGCGGCTCGGGCTTGGGGCTCAGAGGGGCGGTGAGGAGGGCGCGGCGGGCTGGGTGAGGACGAGACGGATGCGCTCCACGCACAGCGCGGCGGCGTGTCGCGTCTCCCGGCACAGCGCCGCCAGGCTCAGGAAGCCGTGCGGCAGGTCCTCCACCACGCGCAGCGTCACCGGCTTGCCCAGGCCGCGCAGCCGCCGCGCGAACATGACCGAGTCGTCCAGCATGGGGTCCAGCGCGCACGCCTGCGGGATGGGGCGGCGAGGCGGAGAATGAGCCTCTGCCCAGCCTCTCCCCCGCCCCAAACCCACCATCCCGCCTCTTTCCCCTTCCCCGATGTGCCCCCAGCGCCCCCCCTGTGCCCCCAGCCCTCCCCTTGTGGGTCATTCCTCCCGGTGGCACCTGCGTGCCCCCCCCTCCCCGCCCGGGGCCGCCCCACCCAGGCGCTCACCACAATGTGCACGGGCGGCAGGCTCTGTAGCATGCTGTCAGACGCCAGCAGCGGCGACATGAAGGGGTTCTTGACAATGGGCGAGGAGCAGACGGGCATCCAAGTGGAGCCCTGGCTGGAGCGCCTGGGGTGGAAACCCTCAGGGAAAGCGGCTCGCGCGCCACAGCCTCTGTCCTTGGTGCTCAACTCCTCCTGCGTCTTGGCGGCTTCTTCCGGGGCCTCCTCTGGGCCAACTAAGAAGTTGACGTTGGAGGGTGTGGAGGAGCCCAGTGTCTCCGCAGACAGCGACAGCTCAGGGGTCTCTGATGTGTCAGAGCTGCCCTTTAGGCTCAGGTCATGGAGTGTCAGGCTCTTGAGGGAGTCCGTGCCCAGCAGGCCCTCAGGCTGGGCCAGGGCTGCCTCAGACACGCTGCGACGCACCGGCTCTGCAAGAGGAGCAGGGTCAGGTGGCCAGGCTGGGCCACAGATCAGCCTGGCTCTGTGGGCTGGTGTGAGGGTGGCTGGCAAGAAAGGTCATGGGAAGGGCAGTGGCCTCTGCAGGAGGAGCTGTGTCCTAGGGCTCTGGAGGCAGAGTGTTCCCCCAGAATCCATCCTTGGGGAGGGGAGGGGAGCCCCAAGTGCCCCAGGCTACAACTCCAAGGGGGAGGTAGGAGGAGTCACCTGGCGGTGGAGGTGGAAGGGTGTGTGTGTGGTCACTGGGAGGGTTAAATGTAAGTCAGTTTACCTCTGGGAGCCTTAGTTTCCTCCTCTGTACAAAGAGGGGATAAAAATAGTCCTTACCTCATAGGAAATGTAGGACTGGGTGGGATGCAGTACTGCTGCCCCCTGGGAAGTCACATGCTATCATGTTTTTTTTTTGTTTTTTGTTTTTTTGCTATCATGTTTTATGGTGCCTAGTAACATTACATTCTGGCTGCCTCGCAGTGACGGGTAGCCAACCTGTTAGGGCCACTCAATACAGAGGGTGTGAACAGATCCAAGTGGAGGGGTGAGCAAGCCCACACAGCTTGAAACAAGGCCAGGTTCGTGGGGAGCTAAAGACAGTCTAGGGAGCCTGTTCAGTCCTCAGGGATCCCACACCTGCAGCCACATAGATCTCCCCACAGTTCCTTCGTGTTCTTGGGTTTTATCCCTTCCCTTTGAGTGATCTGGCATATTGTTATCACTTCAATGATGCTAAAGATGCGCCTTGACCCACATGGAACGCTCATTTTGGTCTCAGCTCCATTAATTTTATCAGATCCATGATGCTTACCACGAGGGCCAGGACCCTGCCTTTTTCACTTTTTTTTTTTAACTTATCTTTATAAATCCACGAAGGTAAGATGCAAGACAATATGAGAACAACTGTGTAAGTGCTCTGTGACCCAGAGGGTCACTGGAAGAGAACCACTGACCGGAGTCACAGGGCACAGCCTGTCAGGGTGCCAGCATCTGCTTAGGAGCACCTACTCTGTGTCAGGTTTGTGCTGGGTGCTTGGCACAAATAGCTGCATGAAATCATTACAACAACCTCATGAGGGAGGTACTCTTACTGTACTCATTTCATGGAGGAGCAAAGAAGGCTCACAGATATGTACCTGGCCCCTGTCACCTGGCAACCAGGGAACTTCTACTACAGCAAGTTGCTAGACTGGCCCATGTGCCTCTAGGAGCTACACTTGTCACCTCTAACCTGTATAAGGAAAGCTCCAGTGTTCAGTGGCCCATGGTTCAAATCCCTTTTGATTGTTTTTGTATTTATTTGCATCCATTTGAATACCCTAAAATTAAAAAAGTTAAAGTAAAACATTCAGTTGGAATAATTTTCTGAATAGGAATGGTACCTACTTTTGAACATGCACTATTATTCAGAAAATACTGTTGCTTTGCTGGAGATAGAAAATGAGTTGGCTATACTTTAAAATCATTAAAATGTTTTTAAAAAATGGTGGGAAAAATAATAGATCCCTGGCTGTTAGTGGTTTTTGGCTGCATGAGGATCCTGCCACCTGCCCCAGGCTGGGAACCTCTTCCACTGACCAAGGTCTATCCAATCTTCTGATCTCTGTAAGTCCAGGTTCCTAGGCCAGCCCCAGAGTAGGGTGTTCCCCCCATGTTAAAAGTCTGGAAAGAATCTGGGAGGGCTGGATTTGAGTGGCATTCTTGGGATTGAAAATCGGCACATGTCATAGGCCTTCTGAGTTATTTCTACACTCTTTTTGTGGGATGGGCTGTTTGGAAGGTTAACTCGTATAGTTCTGGGAGTTCTGAGATGACCTGGTGGATTGGAAGTCCTGGAAATTCTGGGATGAGGGGCATTGTGGAAAATCAAGGCTGTGCCGAAGTTGCTGGGGATAAATAAGGGGTTAGAGCCAGGTGATCTCTGCTCCCATGAGCACCCCAGGGCACAGTCCCTTTCTTCACCCAGACTTCAGGTGCACCAGGCCCTCCCTGCTGTCTACCTGGAATGGGTGTGTGAGGGGAGGGGCTTCACTCACCTGCCGTGGGCACTGAATTCGTATGGGACTTGTGCCCACTCAGGTCCAAGAATGAGTGGAGCCATGAGGAGGCACCCAGGCGGAGGTCTCGGAAGAGCAGGGCCGTGTCCCGCCGCACCAGCCCCATCATGCCCAGTGCCTTCTGGTCTGAGTCAGAGCGGTCCTCTGTCTCTCCACCTGTGGAATATATGTGGAGGGCTGAGGCCCAGCTCAATACCCGAAACTTCAGGCATCTGTGCCCCTGGGGACCCAAGAAGCTCTGATGGCTTCAGTAGGGACAAGGAGTCTCAGATTTCCTTTCCTGAGTCCCAGAGGCCTGGGCTCTAGCCCCGTCCCTGCAGGACTCAAGCACCCAAGCCTCCCCCGGGCCCCCAGTTCTGTGTGTGCTGGCCTTACCAGCATAGGCGCTGACACATTTGGTGAGCACGCTGAGGGGCAGCAGTGGGTCCATGAGGCTCAGAAGGCGGGAGGGTGAGGCGGTAGATTGTAGCATCGTAGCCGGGTAAGCTGCCATGATGCCATCTGGCACCCGCACCCCATAGGCTGCTGCCCGAAGGGACACGGTGAAGCAGAGGTTCCCACCTGCGCTGTCTCCTGCGAGGCATACCCGTTCCCCTGTCGAGCCTGGGTTGGAGGGGGCTTGATCAGCCTCGCAGGGAGGAACTCAAGCTCTGAGCCAGGAGCGCTGGACTCTCAGAGGTGGGGTATGGGGGCCCCCCAAGCCCAAGGTCTAGCCAACTGCAATTTTAGAGATGGCAAACTGAGGGAGGGGCTTGGGGGACAATGGTAAAGGGGATCAAGCCTACTGAGGATGTGGAGATTAGGAAGCTCTGGGAAGGTTGGAGGTCAGAAGCTTAGGGGGACAGGTGGTGGGAGAGGGGAAACCAGGGCCCATTTCAGGGGCAGCTGAGGCCTGGGGATGGAAGGGCAGGGTTCAGCTGACCATGCGAAAGAGCCACATCCCTGTGCCCCAGGGATGTGGCCTGTGCCTTGCCCTGTGCCGCCTTGCCACTTTGCCCTTTGCCTCTGAAGAGGTCAGAAGCAGGGGGTCAGGGGCACCTGGGTGGTTCAGTCAGTTAATCGTCTGGCTTTGGGTCAGGTCATGATCCCAGGGTCCTGGGATCCAGCCCCATGTCAGGCTCCCTGCTCAGCGTGGAACCTGCTTGTCCCTCTCCTCCCTGCTTGTGCTTTCTGCTGCTATCTCTGTCTCTCTCTCTTTCAAATAAATAAAATCTAGATTAAAAAAAAAAAAGAGGAGCAGGAGGTCAGAGGAGCTGAAAGAATGAGCTGGGGCGTGGGCCAGGAGGCTGGCGGTGCCGGACAAGAGGGTGGAAAAAGGAGGAGAAACAAAAGGTCAGAGCTGCTGAAGAGATGGGGGGATGGGGCATCAGGGCTAGAGTTGGGGAGCAGGAAGCAGAAGAAGGAGGTGGTTGGGACAGAAGATCTGGGGAGCAGTGGAGCAAGAGGGGGTGAACAGATGGCAGCGCTGGGTGGTAGGAGATGGGAGGGCAGGCCCTAGCGGCGCAAGGCCAAGGCATGAGGGAATACATGGCTCATCCCCCTTGCAGTCCCGGGGTGGGGGCTGAAGTGGGCTGGGGCTGGAGCAGGGAGTGGGTGACAGTGAGGGGCGGGGGCTCACCGAGGAGGGCACAGTGCTTGACAGCCCAGCAGTAAGCGTAGAAGCACTCCTCCAGCGCGCGGGGGAAGGGGGCCTCAGGGGCCAGGGAGTAGTCGATGGAGACGATGGGGACACCCAGCTCCTGGGCCCAGCTCTTGAGGTAGGGCTCATGGGATTTGGAGGTCTGGGCCACAAAGCCACCACCATGGATGTGCACCACCAGGGACTGTGAGCGGGGTGCCTGCTGCGGGCGCGGCCGCAGCTCCAGGCTCCGGGGCCCCTCGGACTTCACCAGGCTGCTGAGCTCCTCACTGTCCTGGGGGGTGAGGGAGGAGGGTATGGGTGAGGCCGGGGCAGCCTGACAGGCTCACCCCACCAAGGGGATGTGCTCAGAGAGACAGGATTGGGGGGCAGGTGTAAGTGGTGGGAGGTGGGAGGGCACCTGTGGGAGGGCTGTCTCCTACCTGTCCTTCACGCAGGTCATAGGAGATGAGCCTGACAAGGACCGGCCCCGGGCCACTGTGGGCCAGTGGAGGTGAGATGGTGACTGTGAGCTTGGGGTCAGCAGTCAATGGCATTTCAAAGGCCTCTGGTGGCAGACTGAGCAGGCGGCTTACTCTCACGGTGGCTGATGCCATGTTTGCTAGAGACTGGTGGGAAGGAACAGAGGGATGCTGGGAGGAGCTGCTTGCAGGGGTTGCCCTCAAGCCTCCTCTCCTTCCCCGCCCTCCTCCCCACCCTTATCCCTTCTTTGCCATCACAGGCTGTCCCTGGGCCTGGAGCCCTGCGGATGCCTGATTGGGCTGGGCTGGGTCTCTGGGTCTTCTGTGTGCCCATCTTGTAACAGGTAGGACCTTCGTCAGGCCCCATGCTTACCGACAGCACCTCAATCTCGGTGATATTCCAGAAGGCTTTCCAGAAGTGCACATCTAGGTTCTGTATGATCCGCTCAAACTCAGCCCCACGCAGCTCTGGGTCAATGGCAAACCGGCCGCTGGTGAAGAGGGAGCTGGCGGTCACACCTAGGGGTTGGGAGGGATGTCAGGGAGCCCAGCGGGGTGGAGGGGGTGGGAATCAGAGGAGGAGGAGGGACAGGAAAGGAGGTGAGGCCACAGGCAGGACCTGGCCAGGACTCACCAAGGCCTGTTTCATTGCGCTTATAGTGCTCCCCGAAGGACACCAGCCCGATGGAGATAGTCTGCAGGAATGGCCGGATGGCTGGTGTGAACTGTGGAGAGATGCTGCTAGGTCACCCACTGCCCAGGAGGGACTGGAGGCAGGCAGGAATGAGGGGCAGAGACGTGCTTTGGGAGGAGACATGGTCATTCACAAACACTTAGTGAGCTCCTGCCATGTGCCAGGCATTGCTCTAGGCACCTTCGGGGAGCTGATGTCAAAGGGGAGACCAACAATAAGCAAATAAAGGCATATGTTATATGATGCTTCATGACCAATGCTTTGGAAAAACAGTATTGGAAGGGACATAGACTGGCAACTCGGGTCAGGCTGCTTAGATGGTTATCTGGGGAGCACTGGAGGAGGGGTCCAGATGAAGGGAGGGAAGGCTGCTCCCTGCAGAGGACATGGCAAGTGCAAAGGCTCTGAGGCAGCCTGTGCTTGGCGGGAATAACGTGTGGCTGGAGCACTGAGCCAGGGGAAGGGGCAGCAGCCAAGGTCAGAGAAGCAGAGGGAGCTCTCGCAAGGCCTGAGGCATTTGGATATATTATTCCAGATGTTGGTGGAGCCATAGAAGGCTGGGAGGAAGGTGCAGGGATTTCCTGAAAGTCAGTGAGGACAGAGACGAGGCCAGGCAGACGGATGGGGACCAGTTCCTGGGCAGCAGGAAGACAGACAGGAGATGGTTAGAGATGGACAGGGCCAGAGATCTTGAGGCAGAAAGACAGCGAAAGGGGAGACTATGTCTGAGAGAGGAGCTCAGCAGGCTAAGAAAAGACAATAGGGAGACCAGATCAGAGGGGAAAAAAAAAACACAGGAAGCTGGGCAAGGGCCAGCTTTGTTCACTCCACAACAGGCCTATATATCCTAACTGTGTGCTCAGTAGGAGGCTTGAATTGGGGGGGGGGGTGTAGAGTAGGGGGCTGAGCTGGAGCCACATACCAGAGGCTTCTGCCTATGGGAGCTGACGTTTTGGGGGCAGGGGCTGTCTGGCAGCATAGCAGCTGGGCCCTCAGAGAATAGCTATCCAGCATGCCCTTGCCCCTGGCCAGGGGCCCAGTGGGCCAGAGAGCACAGCGGTGCCTGGCCATTTTGACCGGAATGCTGGCTTCTCTGGCCCCAGGATCTCTCTCCCGTGACTCTAAGGTCATGGCCCAGACACAGGGAGGAGCCAGCTGGCCCAGCTGGGCTGATCAATATTTGTGGGGTCAGCTCAGGTGAAGGGAAGTTCCCAGGCTGGGTTGGTGAGGACAGGTTGCTCTGTGGGGAAGTGTGGAAAGGTGAGGTGGGATGAAGGCTGAGAAACTGTCAAGCTCACCTGGAGTGGGGATGGGGAGGCCCAGAGAGGATCTGAACGGTTGCGGTGTCACGCAGGTCCAGATACTCTTGCGGGGGTTCCCTGATGTGGCTGGGGCCTGGGTGACCCAGCACTGACCTCACACAGGAACAAGTTCGGCCTCTGCTCTGAGTCCAAGGACCCCCCCCTCCCCCCAGTTCTGAGATCCTTAACTACTTTGAGTCCAAAGGCTCCCAGGCTGCTTTCCTCTCAGTGCTAAGGTGAGCAGTTACCCCCTGGGGGTGGTTAGGATGGGCAGAGGGTGGAAGACCTGCACCCGGCAGCCAGGGCCCTGAGTCTGGGAGGAGAGGGGCCACTGCTAGGTCTTCCTTGCTCTCACCAACTCAGAAGTGCTCCTTGGCCTTTTCTGTGGCCTGAAAACCCTGATTCTACAGTTCTTTAGGTGAGCCAGAAGAAAGCCCAGGCCGACTGGGCTCTAGCTGAGCAGCTGTGGCCTGAGCCCCTTGAGCCTCTGTAAAGTGGCGGTGGCACCCTCCATCCTGCCCACGCCTTCAGTGTGGATGACTAGATGGGGTGTGCTCTTATAAATGGGTCTTTGAGAAAATACTCCCCTCCTAAGGGGTCTCAAATGATTTCAGGGGCCAGACAGGTCATGGCAAAGGGTAAACGACTCTCCCCTGAGTGTAGGATGGAAGGGAGCAGTGGGGATCCTGGCGGAAAGAGCTACCAAGTTAAAGATTTCTTATTACAAAGTAGAATCGACCCAGGGGCCACAGGTTTGAGACCCCCGGTGCAGCCGTCTGAGCCCTAGACCGCTTCTCCTTTCTTGAATCTACTCTTTCTGAAGTTTGGTGATACTGATCACTGTGGTTATTCAGTGATGCTGTCGGGACAGGTCGGGGTCCACCACGTGCCTTCACTGTTGGCCGGGAGGAGGGGGGCGGGGGGCTTACCTGGAAGCCCAGACAGCGACCGTAGAAGCAGCCCTTGTGCAGAGTGACATACTCGCGCAGGAATTCAGCAATGAGCCCCTCGTCGCCCTCGAAGAAGAGCCCCCCAGGCCGGTTGGTGGCCAGCAGGCGCTGGGCGTAGTAGGCTAGGGCACGGAGCTGGGTGAGGGCGACCAGGTAGGCCTCAAGTTCCGCCAGGTTGTGGCTGGTGCGGAAGAAGATGCTCCGGCGATTGGAGGCCACGTAGCGGGATTTGTGTAGCAGGTGTGCCAGGCAGCAGCGGGCTGTGTGCACCAGGCTGCGGTACCCATTGGCCGGCGTCTCTGCGTCCAGGTCGAAGAGGTGCGCCACGCTCAGCAGGCGGCCCAGGGCTGGCTCCAGCCCCAGCGCCTGCTCCCGAATACCCGCAAAGACGCCGGACAGTCGTCGTGCGGTCTCCCCAGGGCCCTGGCTTGAGAAGAAGGCCATGTTGTCTTCTGCCAGAGTCACCAGCGACTGTGTCATTGTGCGCAGGTCCATGTTTTGTGTGAGCTGCGAGGCTGCGGGCAAGTGGGGAGCCCCTATTAGGCAGGAGTGGACCAAGGGTGCCCCTGAAAAGGATCTTCCTTTTTCAGACCCAAGAGTCCAGGCCCCAGACCCCTCTTTTCTTTGCCGGCTCCTGTGTGGGACGCTTACTGGTTTCCTAACTCCTTGCTTCACGTACAACCCAGAAGTCTATCCAACTCTCTGCTTCCTTCCAGAATTACCCAATAATTCAGGTATCCATCTCCACTTATTCTCCTGGGGCCCAGGATTCAGAGATTCTGAGAGGTGTGGAACCCTACCCGATGCCCTCTCTCAGGACCCAGTTCAGGCCCCCATCCTACCTCCTTCTCAGGCCCCAGGCGTCATCCACAGGCTCTTCGCCTCCACCAGTATTTGGGAGAGCTCAGCCCATAGCCCATCCATTCCCATCAACCTGGTGGTGTCCTAGGACCCCGGTCTCAAGCCCAACTCTCCCTGATCCCAGTTTGTAATTCTAGACTTACTTAAAACTGAGGAGTCACTCCTGCCCCCTCCTGGTCCCTCATATCTGACTGTGGAACCACCCCCCTAAGTTCTGGCTGCTTCCCTGCTCCTCTGTGGGATCCCCAAAACTTGGTTCCACCACTCCTCAGCTGGATCCCCTGGCCTTCAGGCCTCTCCACTTGGTTTGGATTGCACGGGCCAGCTGTCCTCATCCCTGCCATTAGCCTTGAGCTCACTCTGTGCCAGACCTGCGCTAAGAACTTTCTGTGTGTTTGCTCATTTAGTGCTTGCTAACCCTGAGAACCAGACTGCTTCTGTTCACATTTCAATTATTACCGGTAGCATCCCCATTTTACAGGAGAAACTGAGACTCAGGGCTGTTCAGTAAGGAGCTAAAGCTTGCATTGAAAGCGGAAGTGCAGAATTCAAACCCAGATCTCTGGGTCCAGAGCCATTACTTACGCTGGTCTCCCTCGCTCCGAGGGCTCTGGAGGCTGCACCTTTAGCTATGGCCCTCAAAGGCTTGCTCTGGACTAGGTCCGACTTCCCGCACTTCAGGGTCCCTGGTGTGTCCCTCCAGGATCCCTGTACTGTCACCCAGGTCCTGGACAAGCCACTCTTGCACCCCTTTGGTGGAGATGGCGCTCTGTGCTCTGGAGACTCTTTCCTCCTGAAGCCCACTCAGGACCTTGCCTGGCTACTGCCTCGTTTCCCAGAAGGTGTCTCCCTTCCAGGCCCTGGGTTTTATAGCGTGGCCATTCCTGTCTCTCAGCAGACAGTGCACTCACCCCTCCCAGACCTCTTCTGAGCTCCCCTAGGCTGAGCTGCAGGCTGCGCAGTGTGGCTAGTGCCAGTAGAGTCCTGGGACGATAAACCAGGGGGAGGGACAGAGCCTGCCCAGTGTGTGGCCACCCGGCTCCACCTCCCAGCCAGAAAGGACACGGAAACCATGTGCTATAAACAGAGCAGCGAGCCCAACTCCCAGCCCCCTCTGCCGGTTCCCGCTCCAATGACAGTCCTTGTCCCAGGCTCCTCTGCCTTAGAACCCAGGAGTCTGGGCCCCAGCCCCTTCCTCCCTTGGGTCTAGGAGTCCAGGCATTCAACTCCCTCCTCAACAATCAGAACCTGAGGCATCTGGCATCTAGCTTGCCAACCCTCTTCTCCCTTAGCAGCCAGGAACCTCACCCTCAGTTCTGAACACACTGTCCCTGCTCACCCAGTCCTGCTGCAACTCCCTCTCCCTAGGCCCAGTGATCTCAGCTCCTGGGCCCCCAGGCTGGCCCTGGCACAGCCGGCCCCAGCTGCTGGGGGGAGAGAGAGGGTAGCCAGCCCTGCCTGTCCCTCCCAAGAGGACAAAGGCCGATTAAGGGTGGTGCCAAGCTCAGCTGGGGGTTCTGAGCCACAGGTCCTACTGTGTGGTGTTCCCATACTGGGCACCTGCCACTTACACTTCACAGGCCATCCTGCTGTGACTGTCATCCTTGCCTCACATATGGGAAACTGAAGCTCCAAGAAATACTTTACCTATGTTATTCCACATGTTTCCTGCCTGGCCAGCTCCTTCTCACCCTTCAGGGCTCAGCCTGTCACCTCCTCAAAGAGGCCTTCCTTAACTACTCCTCCCCACCTAAGATACATACGCCTATCATTACTTTCTGCCATCATACTTGTGTCTCTTTTTTTTTTCATACTTGTGTCTCTTCCTAGAATTTTACACACTTGTAATTATATGCATTTGTTTACATGTTTGTTTGTCCCCCCTCCCCGTTCCCTGGGACAGAACCAGACTTCATGGAGCTGTGAAGCTTATATGTGTAGAGGTAGAGCTCTTTAGGAAAAAAGATATAAGATCACAAATACAAACTTAGGGACAAGGCTTTGGAAGGGGTCTGCATGAATGAGAGGCCCTGAGACCTCAGTGTCATTGGCTTGGCTATGGGTGAATCCTGTCTCTCCTCTTTTTTTTTTTTTTTTTTAATTTATTATTTAGGGACCCCTGAGCATCTGCCTTTGGCTCAGGGCATAGTCCTGGAGTCCTGGGATCAAGTCCCACATCAGGCTCCCTGCATGGAGCCTGCTTCTCCCTCTGCCTGTGTCTCTGCCTCTCTCTCTCTGTGTCTCTCATGAATACATACATAAAATCTTTTAAAAATTATTTATTTATTTATTTATTTATTTATTTATTTATTTATTTATTTGAGAGAGAGAGAGAGAGAGAGAGAATAAGCAGGAGGGGAAGAAGGAGAGGGTGAAAGCATCTCCAGTAGACTCTGTTCTGAGCAGGGAGCCCAATGTGGGGCTCAACCTCAAGACCCTGAGATCAGGACCTGAGCGGAAACCAAGAGTTGGACGTTTAACCGACTGAGCCACCCAGGCGTCCCTGTTTCTCGTCTTTGATTATCATGACCCCTAGGGCAGGGGGTGGCCGCAGGGCTCATCACAGGGTCTGGCACATAGTAGTGCTTAGCAAATATTTGATGATGGAAAGGAAGAGTAAAGAGTCAGAGTGGGGGCAGAAGCAGGTGAATGGGAGCCTGGGAGAGGACCACCCTCATGAACAGACAGAGGCCTGTGGAGACGGCGCTAAGCTTGGTGGCCGGGGGAGCCTGGATGGGCCTGGGTGAGCAGCAGTGAGGAAAGGCTGAATCCGAGGCCTTCAGGATTCCAGGCCCTGCCTTTTGCCCTGTTCTAGGCAGGTCCATGGGGGCCGTTGGGTGGAGACCAGAGGGATGTTGAAGTTGCCAGAAGCTTGCCAAGAATCTCAGGCAGAGGGCACTGGGGCAGAGGCAGGCGCACAAGGCCCGTGGGCAACAAGTGGAGTAGAGGTGGGGCCAAGGGGTCCTGTTGCCTGGTGCCAGCCCTTTACCCTAAAGAGCCACAGGGCAGCTGGATCCAGCCTGGATTCTGGCCCCTGAGGACTGAGCAGAGGTGAGAAGGGTGGTAGGGAAGGAAACTCCGGGAGGATGGAGGAGGAAGGGCCAGGTCTGAGGCCTGGGAGCCTGCCAGGCAGCTGCTGGGTTGGGGACAGTGAGTGTAGCCGGCGCCCTGAGTGTGTCTGCCTAAAAAAAAGCAAACACTGCTCTAACGACCCTGTGGGCCAAGGCCAGGCACTGTTCTGTACGGGCTTCACGGGAAGTAACTCATTTCATCATGGGGACAGTCATCATCATCATCATCACCCCTTTGGCAGAAGAGAAAAGTGAGAGGCAGAGGAGGATGGGACTGCCCACAGTCACAGGGCCGGCAGGGATGGCTCAGCTGGTCCCTGCAGCGTTTCTGCAGAGTGTGTGTGTGTGTGTGTCTCCTCGCCATCATGTCTAAACTGGCAGCTCTCTGGGTGGTCAGGTGTGAGTGTCTTTGAGGCTCACACAGATATACATATGTGGGTGCATGTCATGCCTTGTGTTTGCCGGCCGGGATGTTTGTGGGTGGGTGTGTTGACATTTTTTCCCAGTCTGTGCTTTTGTCTATTTCTCGGTCTGCTTGAAGGCATGTTTGTACGTATGTGTCATGGCCTGTGCTTCTTGGCCTGAGTGTATCTGTGTGTTTTCCTTGCCCTGTGAGATTGCACGGGCATGTGTTTGTATGTGTATGGACATATATACTCCCGTTTGTGTGCACTGTGGTCGTGTGTGTGTGTGTGTGTGTGTGTGTGTGTGTGGCCACTTCCCACTCCCATTCAATGCATCATAAAGTTCTTCCCCTCTGCCCCCACAGAAACTTCTGGAATCTGGCTTTTCTCCCACCTCCACTGACCCCACATCTAGATGACTGTAACAAGTCCTTCTGTGTTTCTGATTTGGCCCCCTTCAATCTCTTTTCTGCATAGCAGCTAAAGGATTTTTCTAGAACTTTCAATCCGGTCACATACTCCTAACCCTGCAACACCCCCACCCTTGCTCTCAGGATAAAGCCCCAAATCCTGGACATGGCCTCCTAAACCAGGTGCTATCTGGGCTCCCTGCCACCCAGCCCCCCTCGCCCTCCCCTCCCTTGCTGAGCTCCCTCTGTGCTATAATGAGCCACTTCCTTGGGGCTCAAGGTCTCTGCCCACACTGTCCCCTTCGCCTCCCTGCCCCCTTGCCCAGTAGTCAACACTTGCTCATCCTTGGGCCCAATGTCACCTTCCTGGGAAGCCTACCTCTTACATTTTTCTCAGGACTTTCCCTATTGTATTTGCCAGTTTATAATTATATCTGATTTGTGGATTATTTGATTGATGTCTGTGTCCCCAGGTCAAATGTGAGTCTGTCCTCACCACATAGAGTCCAGGCCTGACTCAAGTAAATATTCAGTGAATGTCTGCTGAATGAATCTGTATGACTGGAGCTTTCTGGGTTCATAATTAAGGTTGGGGCACAGAGCAGTTTTGAGTTCACACACCCTGCCCTCAGGAGGCTGGGTTGGCCATCTCTCTGCCCTCACTGGCCAGGTAAGGAAGCTCAGGTGACCTTGCTCCCTCAGAGCCTCAGCATTATCATCTCGGAAATGGGGTGATCATAATGACACTAGAGTCATCGGTTACTGGCAAGATCAAATTGATGACTAGGGACAGCTCCAGCCAGCCTGGATGCCCTCAGGGGAGGGGCAAGGTCTGATTCACTCTGCTGAGGTGTGGCATCCTTCCTGAGCCTCAGGAAATGACAGGTGAATCTCAGAGCTTACTGGAATGAGCCTTTGTGAGTAGGTGGGCCCATGGGTTTGTGGGTAGGACTGGCTCAGCCCCGTGCAAGGCACCCCACCCAAGAGGATTCTGATTCCTCATGACAACCCTAAGGGCAGCACGATTATTATTATCCCAGTGTTACAGTTCATACATTCCTTCACTTACTAATTCAATAAATATTTGAGTGCCTCTATGCCTGGTATATCAGGCTATGAAAATGTGGGATAAACAAGGCAGATGCAGTCCCCGGCTTAGGGAACTCGCTCTCTAATGGGGAGTAACAGTAATAATAACCTCTACCCCTCATGCAGGCAGGCTGTGTGCCAGTGCCAAATATGCTACACTCATTCAAACCTTACAACACCACCACAAGTCAGGGAGTCTTATCATTGTGCCCCTTTTACAGCTCAGAAAGTTCAGACAGGGAAAGAAGAAACCTGTTGCCCAATGTGCCAGTTTATGACCCAGGAACTAGGCCCCCAATGGCCACATTCTTAACTTTGGTCTGTACTGCCTCTGGGCATGCTGTCCTGCTTCTGAGGCTGTGTCTGGCAGTATGACAGTGAATGCCCTCAGGTCCCAGTCTGAGCTCTGAGCCTGTCTGCGCCTGCGTGTGTGCACACACACACATGCTTGTGTGTAGCCAACTCTAGTTCTATCTTTGGCTGATGATGTTGCCTAAAGCAGAGAGAACAATGGGCCTGATGTCTCTAGGGCCTGGGGGGCTACCTCGGTTTCTTTCCTTCACCTGAACTTCCCATAGGTCCTCCCTTGGCTTCACAAATACCCATAACCTAAGGAGAACTTAACGTGTGCCCCTGCCTGAGGCTTGCAGCATCTGTGGGTCTGTCTTTCTCCAGCTTGCTGAGATCTGTAAATAATGTGACACCTTAGGAACCCAGTTGACAGCCCTCTCTTCTTTGCCGTAGGGAAGGTGTGGTAGTCTGAAGCCTACCCAGGGCCCCCTCGTCCTAAAAAGAGTGGGGGTCAGGAAGTTAGGCTCCAGTGGTGCTGGGCTAAGCAGGTGGCTGACAAGGAATGGATGCATGGATCGAATGAAGGATGGGACGGTGGACTGTTTTGAGCCATACTGGGGCATTTCCCACTACGAGGCACCCTTCCTCCTACCTTTCTCTGACAGTGAATGTCCTCTAAACTTCCTCCTTGAGCAACAGTTTCTAAACCTCTCCGTTATCCT